AGCTACCTGTAAAGCTGTGGACATTTCATGATCTCCAAAGTTGTGCCAAAAGGCCTTCTGGATTACACTTTTGACCTCCTTCAGTTTCAACCCACACTCAGTCGCATTTTTTTCTAGATCGGCCAGTTGCAACTCAGTTAGTTCAGTTTCCTTACTTTTCGACTCTGTGAGAAGTTTAGCCTCCACATCGTCATTGGCTTCCATGACCTTGTCGGCTCCTCTTGTGAGTTTTTTGAAACTGTCTCTGAGTTCTTCCTCAGACATGTCCTCATGGTTTCTGGTGATACTGTTGACCAGACGAGTGAATGATGCCTTTGCCGTCGTTCTCTCCATCTTGAGCTGCTCAACTGACTTCTGTTCAGCAGCCATGTTTGGAGTTGCTTGCAGATGAAGGTTTGAATGAGGCCTTGTGGAATTGGTTGAAGTTGTGAACTTGATGACCAGGATTCCAGTCCCCGCTCCTGCTCATTCAGTTTGCAATCTTCAGTATCCTGGTTCCCGTTCTCCGGTCTCCGTTTCCTGGTTGTCCAGTGGGATCCGGTTTTTCACTGTCAAGTTATGTGTGATGTTTACTTGTGCTGTCCCCTAACTTGAAAAGGTCCAACTGTTTGCCCAGAGTTTCACTGTGACTTCACTCAGTTCATCCAATGATCAGACACAAACTTTCTTTATCCTTTTATTTTTGATTCGGGATTTGTTTTGTCACATTGGTTTAGTTTTAGTTTAGTTTAGATTAGTTTAGATTAAGTGAAAAACCAGCAGTCGCTCTGGAGTTTTGCAAGCAGTTGGTATAAGCAGTCTCTCCTACAACAGTGTTTGTTGGAATGAATTTCTCTCTGGAGCTGCCTGACTAAAAGGGTGGTGAGGACTTCAGGTGAGGTGATTTGTGATTGTCCTCAGCTGGTAGCAATTGACTACCTGCAATAACTAGTTCTTCCTCTGGGGGAGAAATGTGTGGCTTTGCCATGTTGTGACTGTGAGAGAAATGGGGCTTTTTCTTTTGTGATTTGGTTTTCAGTGCAAACAACAACACAGTGCCAAGTTACAGACAGTACATAATTTTTATAGTAAACTGATAAAGGTGATGTGGTGTTGAGATGTGTGTTGTGTGTGTGTGTTTGTATGAGTGGTAAAGGAAAGGGTGAATTAGAGATCCACCAAATCAGACCTAGAGAAAATAAAAATGACAGAAAATAAAGAGAGGCATGCATAGTGACACATGAGATAGGAAGAAGCAGACAGAGATCCAGAGAGCCTGAGAAAAAAAAGAGCAAGAAATCCTCTGTATTTCATTTTTTTTTAATCTCCGCAGAACACATTGCTGGTCGTCAGCTATAAAATAATGAGATGCAGTGTCCCCCCTCTTGCTCTGTGTTTGGCAGGAATCCCACAGACACAGGGCAAGGAAGTCACTGACAGGAGGCATTTGTTCATTACACAGCAGAACAAATGTAAGGCAGGGGCCTCCATCTGAAAACACAGAGAGCAAAATTAAAATTAGGAAAGAGGAGAAAAGGAGGAGTATGAAGGCAAGTCAGCAGGGCTTTGATGACATGACAGAAGATAAAGTGAAGGGACGTGCACATACTCATATATGCAGACTTACAAAGCTATGAGTGATGGAGAGAAAGAGAGACGGTCCAGTGGAGCTAATGTCGTATCATATCGCATTAGTTGTGTGCCAAGGATTTGCCAGCAAATGAAAAGGGGAAAAGTCTAGTGCTCAGACCCAGATTCAAACCTCGGTGTGTATCCACCATCAACCTAATGCAGTTGAAGGCCCTCCAGCTTTCAGATCATATCAGAAATCAATGCATGTGCGGCACTCAGCCATCTCTGTTGGATCAAGTACATAGTAGCTTGTAGCCATGTAGTAGTGGTTTTTGTTGCTGCTTAGTACCAGTGTCTATTTCATATCTTAACTGTCCAACAAAGCAGAAAAGCCAAAGAGAGCATTTTAAAGATGAATCAGAGTCAACATTCAAGCAGAAATACATAGTAGGACTCTGTTAATCCTTAAACTTATTTATTGAATAGTCTTAAAGGTAGGATGGTACAAACAGCCTGGGAGTCTGCCTGCACTTCTTGTTCTATAGTATGGCATGTGATAAAGCATCTGTCTGCGTCATCATGTCAGCCTTTAGTATGACTGTGGATAAGAGGCTATTACACTCCATGAAACTGTCTCCTCCTTACAACAGCGTGGTTAACTGACTGGCCTGTTTACCTCCCTCACTAACAAAAATGTTATCTGCATCCAGTTACACTCTGCTATCCAGCAGCAGGCAGAGAGAGAGAGCACTAGCAGAAAGACAAGAGAGGGAATCAGAATAAGAGAGTGAGAAAAAATAGATAAAAGATATTGAGAGAAATTGAGAAAGTGACAGAAATGGAGGGTTGAGGCAGCTTAAAGTTCGGACATTACAGCACCCACTGAGCTCAGCTGAAATGAGGTGAATTTAGAGACAGTTAGACACTCGAAAAAAGAAGCAAGAAAGAGACAGCAATGGTCGGAATATGCATGAAGGACTGCTAATTAGAGTCATGGACACACCCATTAAAAGCATGACTCATCCCAACTCACTCTCTTCCTCCCATGCCTTTTGTCTTTGAAGTCTTGGTGAGTTGGTTTTATTTCTTTATTCATTTATTTTTTGACTCAAAGGGGCCCACTCGTGGAAATACTGACCTCTTTCTTTCAAAGGGAGAGGCAGAATGACAAGAATGACGCAGAAAGGAAAAAGAGAAAGATGCCGTCCAATGTTGTTCCATTCAATGGAATATTTAAAGAGGATAACAAAGAGTAACAAAAAAATAAAAAAAATAAAAAACAAAACAAGAACTCTGGTCCCTTGATGCCTCACAGTCCTGTGTGTGTAGTTAAAAAAAAGAAAGAAAAATAAATATTGCTTACACCTATAGTAAAAAAAAAAGTAAAAAACAGCCAACAGACATTTCTATTCTTTGCTTTCTCATATATAAACATTCACCTACTGTAATTTCACCAGGATAGAATGAGGTTTTTATCTGCCGGGTTCAGACTGAATATCAAAATAATCGGACCAGTCAAATAAAAAATAGAAAAAGACAATATATGTAAATATCCAAGAGATTGCTGCTGTGCCTGAGGCACCAATGTAAACCCCCAATTAATGCCATTGCCAATGTCTACATATCAGTACAACTATGGTAATATTTCTACACACTGGACTGCATCACCCAGTCCCTTCATGTAGAGAGAGGGGATGTCTTTTTTAGCTGATTTCAGTTTTTTATGCAGCTTAACTGAGTAGGTGCTGTAGAACTGCTAAGTACCTCTTCAAACAGGCTACTCACATAAACTCTATGGTGCTTTTTCCAGGAGGATGTCACCTGCTGGGAAAAAGCAAACCTGTAACTAGAAGTATCTATAAATAATTCTATGTTGGTCATTTTGGAAACATGGTGAAAACCAGAAATTACAGTGAAGTATTTGAAGGCAAATTTCTTACATTTCCAGTTACCTTCCAATAGTGCTGATACAATCAAGTCCATGCTCATGAAAGCAAATTCTGATAATTATATTAGCCAGGTCTGCTAATTATAGTGACATTCTGAGATTGCATTTCCATCGGGACTCATTCATGCCCAGTCCTTTCTTTTCTTCCTCATTTAAAGTCTTCAGGAGAGATGACACCTAAGGTATTGCTTCAAGAGTGCTTCATGCCCTCAGGATAAAGTGTGAAGGTCACATTATTCATCCATATATATCCAAGTTTAAAGGACTAATCAATTAGACTTAAGCCCAGAGCTTCAAAACACTGCTGTCTGTAATCAATATTAATCTTGTCAAATATTTCACTTGTGTTGCTGAAAAATAAGAGATCATTCAACATATGTCAAAGAGCACCACAACAAAGCCATTAATTTGCCTTTTACCAGGGCTCAGTCTAAGTCTTTCCATTCACTGGCACACAAAAATGGTGGATAGATACAAATACCTCACCCATTGTCCATATACACATTTAAGTGAATGAAATAATTGAAGTAGTAGGAATAAAGATATTCAATTATTTTCTATATGCTTATAAGCCCTGAAAAAACAACTTCACAAGTAAGTGCAAGAAAAGAAATTTCAGCGTGCAGTTAACTGATGCTACATCTCATGCTCTAAAGCACAGGACAGGAAAGAATGCAGCTGTCTAAAACTACTTTTAGTCTGAATAACACTTGAAACAGTGGGCTATCTACAGTATTTAATTCAAACATGCACAAACAGCCAACCTCAAATAAAATTTTACACTAACTTACTATGGACTATAAACAGTAGGCACAACACGTTTTCATTTTGGGTTTGACATTCAGCCAACTCAATTTTGTAGAGTCAAGAGAAAAAGCCATTAACTAGTCAATGTAACTGCAGGAGCCAACAGAAGTTTCTGTTAACTTAAGTGCTGCCTCGACTAAGACCAGTGTCATTCTGATACATTCAGCTCCCAGTCACATGAAATAGATCTTCAGAATCGTTTTAATCTTCTTAAAGCAGGTTATTGTCTGGTAGTCACAGCAGACCTGTTCATAAACAGCTCATAATTCAGAAATGTAACTGCCGAACAGCTTGTGCATTCATGTTGAAGTTCTTCTTTAGAGAGAGCAGCCATAAAGATGTTCTGAAGAAGAAGTATGTACAACAGCTATGATATACAACAGATAACCCTAGGACACCAATCACAACACACTGACTGGCTAATTCAATAGACTTAAATGCAACACCTGATATTTCTTGGAATTGCAGTGAGATGCAATGTAATGTAATATGGGCCTATATAGTACAAATGCTCCATTCACAATAAATGCTAGATCAACAACAGACACAAACACTCAAAGACATCTTGATATTGTGGGATATTTCCTCACAGTCCTTTACTATTCACGGTGCAGGTGGTTGTTGGTGGAGTTAAACATTCGTTTGGGTTTATGTTTATGTGCATGTAAAACTGCATGAGTGTATGAACCCCCACCTGCCAGACTGCCAGGTCTCTGCAGTGTTGCGGTAGCGTAAAGCTCATGGGAGATCTTGTACTGGTCAGAAGCGTGGTGAGATGCCAGCCTTTTGGGAGACAGAGTGGCATAGCTCCCTATGCCCGAACTCATCTGAAAAGACAAGAGGTTTCTTTTTCTCTTCTTTGAAATATTAGAAATAATCTCAGGGAACAAATGATACCTATACACTGGTGCAATTGCTTCATGTTAGTTTACAATGCTTTGGCAGCAAAACATATAATAGCTGATATGGCCGAAAGGTTTTGATTGGTGTGGTTCAGATAACAGAAGTTTCCAAATTTGCATTCGTGTCTATATCCATAGTACTAGTATAGTATTATATTTTAATATTATTTGTCAATATTAAATAGAATGGTATGTCTTTACAACACTGTTAAAGAAATACTAATACTGAGCATTAGCACTGTAAATATTGGACTTTGAATTATAATCTTTGTACTATTACACTGCACATAATACTGTTAAATCACATCCTACATCTTCAGAACTGTCAGTAGAATAACTTGCTCTATAACGAAGAAATGTGTAGAAAACCATTTGACAAATGTGTACTGGGTAAAATAAATATATTCTGATTTAAATAATTATCAAACCAGGCAAGGATGATATTTAACAGTCACAATTTACTTCACTGAAAAAGGGAGGAGGTTATGTGTGCCTTCAGTTGAACTTTGACATCTTCTCACAAACATGTAAATTAAATGTATTTGTATCCATATTTGTCATCCTCATTTTTCTACTGATTTCACCCAGACTTTGAGGAGTAGATTTTATAATTGCGCTGAATGTAGTTCTGTTACAGTTGCCTTGGTTTCATTCATTACACTGGTTTGTAACAAATCACATTTCTCAAGCAATTTGAATGTCTGCTTCTCGTACAAAATATTCAAATTTAATATTCTGTAATTAACACAAAATAGATCTCAACTCTAAAGCTGCCAACTTTCTAAGACTGTAACATCCTGTACCTGGTGAAGAGGGGATGATGATGAGCTGGCCCCTCCCCCTGCTGCTGTAGAGTTGGGTGGAGATGCCACCCTCAGGGGTGACCCGCCTCCTCCTGCTGTTGTCACAGCAACCGTGGTGCTGGAAGACAAATGGGAAGAGTAACATATTTTATCTGAGAAATAGTGACTTTAAATGATTAATTTTGTTTTAGATATAAAAACAGTCATATGCTTCCTCTACCATTTGTGAAATATGTGTGTAATTTATATACACTGTATGCCAGCATAGAATGGAGGACAATGAACCTCAAAGGCAATTTTCTTTTTTCATTCTATTCTTTTGTGGCCTATTTACTTTTTTTCTCAAGCAATCTTTAGAACCTATGAATGAGAAATTTGTGTTAAATACAGTAATTCTTTCAAATGACACCCCCTTTATCCACCTTCAGACTCTATTATACATCAGTATCAACAGAAATACAACAAAATCAATATTAGTGTCAAAGCCACTGTGGCTCTATACCTGTATGACTTGGCCAGTCGATTAGCAGGGGACTGTTTGGGAGAGGAGGAGGAGGAAGGCAACCGTTGAGTGGTAGAGTACCCTGGTGTGTCAGAAGCTGATCCCAGGCGTTGGAGCTTACTAGGGGAGCTGGACCCTGAGCCTCCTCCTCCTCCAGAAAGAGGGGAACTGACACGCTGGGCAGGCAAGGTGGAACTAGAGTAGTATATACCTAGAGAACAAGGGAATGAACATAAAAATCTATGAACATGGGATGCAGAGGAATGAGTGACAATTTGGTGAGGCTGATGGTAATGATTTGGAGGACAGATACAGGCAGGTTATGAAGCAAAACCTGATATTTTACAGTGGGTTGATGACAGAGAAAAGAAAATATGTAAAGAGCTACAGGTTTGAATCAGGGCAGGATTACAAAAGCATAAAACTGGCTCAACAATGAAGCCAAAATGCAAGGTTTGAATAAAAGTAAATTTAAATGCACTACCTGCTTATTGTGTTTTTCAAACCTTAGCCATGTCTCCATTTATCAATATTAAAATTTGGGAGAGAGCCTGAAATGAAGTGGTAAATAACTGGGAGTACCAAAATGACCTGGTTTAATGGTGAGATTTTTCTTTTATTATTTTGCATATATAATTTACTGTATATCAATTTATTGTACCGAAGTGAAAATATATGCTGTATGGGGAAAGTCTTGCATGCAACAGAACATGTTGATAAGTCAATGAAAAATGCATTTTCTAAATAAAATGCTGGATAAAGAAATGTATAACACAACATATCCAGTATGATACATGTATGGCTTAAATTCTTGACCCCAAAGCAAACCGGCTTCAGAGACTGGAGTTAATATAGCTTGTTTTTAAATAATGGAGGAATAATACTAACATGTAAGAAAATTATTCACACTGCAGGCTCTGAAAACATTCTACCACTAGGAACATTTTTATTCCAATTCTCATACATGTCTATCAGTGTCTCCAAATGTCATCTTTGTGTATCCACAGAACTTCACGCTATGTCAGACTAATTTATTCTAAAGAAAATGCATCTCCATGAAGAGAGACAGAGAAGAGTGGGGGAGAGCAGGAGAGGTGAGTTCTTACCTGACCCTGCCCCAGTTTGTGATTGTTGTTGCTGGGCTGCACGACTAGATGTCACCTGAGGGGATATAGGGGAACACAGAGCAAGTGAGGGAAGATGACGTGACATGACAGGAGAGAGGGATGGTAGGGGAGGGAGAAGTTATGATGAGGGAAAGGGAGATAGAGAGTTAAGAAAAATGGGATAAAAGAGAATAGAGAGTAGTGGCCATCAAAAACTTTTATGCACAATGAGTTCAGTCAAGCCTTTGAGGATCCCAAATGAACCTAGAGCAGCTAATGAAGTCCCCACAGAAAACAGAGGGGTGATTCAAACAGACTCATAGAAGCAGACCATGAAGTCCACAGAGCTCAGCTGACTGAAATAATTTCTAATAAAGCCTTGTTGTACCGCCCACTCAAAATCAATGAAAGGATTACACAATCCATAGTATATTCGTGTCTTAATCTCTATCATCTGTCCTCACATAAACCCCAATATTCACAATTATCTAAAATAACTTAATCTGTCATTTAAATCATCTGTTAAATTGCTCATATTGATTGTGTATGGTAAAATAGTCTATGAATATATGATGTACATCAGCAGTCTACTCTGAGACAAATTTAAACAAGGACAGTGGAAAGAAATTGTCACTGTCCTGATACCTGCAGCTGTAAAAACAAAATTCCTTTCAGACAATAAAAGTAATGTGCCAGTCTGTGAGGCAGAGTTTGAGAAGCTTCCTTTTTTTTTTTTTTTTTTACCTTACATCACATGCTGGTCTATACTAATATATTCTCCTTAGTCTCTAGACACAGTAGGGAGAACATATGCCAGTGCTCCACTGAGCCTCATATACATAGCCTTATGTTGATGTTTAAAGCTGTAAAGGTGATTCAAATATGTGATTACTAGACTGACATGGCTGCAGTTGTGCAAGGTGTACATTATGCAAGCACACAGTCACTGAGTCACCTTGGAGAACTGTCATTACTGCATATACAGCAGTTACACTCAAACCTTCTGTTTCTCAGCATTAAACAAGTTATTCTCATATATAATTTAAAATTTTCTACATTACTTTAATGTCTATCTCCACATGCAGCCATGTTTATAGCCATTCTGAATAGTCTGCTATTCATCTGTCTTAATTTGTATCTAGTAAACCTTATATTATGGCAGAAACAAGCTCAAACACATGTCTATTCACGTATGCATACACACACTTAGAAATACATAATGACAACATATATGTTATCATCCAATAACCAGTGCCTCACAACATGCAAACACACACCCACACACACATAAACAATCTGGAGTTATGTTCAAAGGCTATGTTTGCGCACAACGGTTTCCAGGTGTGAATATTTGCAGCTGTATAATTGTACAGAAATACATTTGGTGAAAAAAAAGCATGCCTGCTCAGCAAACCTTTCCTAGATATATATAGCAACACACACAGGCACACAGTCTCCCATTATGTTCTCAATGGCAGTCTCTGGTTATATTTTCCTGCTTTTGCAGTGAGCCAAAGCGTGTCTGCTAAAGACAACAGGCCTTTGATTCTAGCACTGCTTTGTTTGCACAGGGGTCATGGAAACTGTTATCTTTGCCTGAGTGGATTAGCAGTCTCTTTCTAAAAAAATCTGACACACAGTTTATGGAGGCAAACAAGCAGAAGAATGGAAAATCTGTAAAATGAGAGGCAGGCATGTAATGCAATATAGAGGATATAGTAAGCTATTGTGCTTCCACATATTTTCTGCCATGTTTTTGACACACATTCTGACACCATGTGTCTGTCTATACGTTGTTGTGAATAAGTGGAAGTGCTTGTGAATTCACTCTGTAATTGAGCATTTTCAGACTGCAATAATTAACAGTATAGATGGGACCATGTGTTTAAATGCATCTGTATTCATAGCTTCACCATAATATCCAAGATAATGTATCCTAGCCTTTCATTCCCATGGATTTCTGCACTTAGTTTCATTTTTATATAAATGCTTCATGTGTTTGAGGTGTTAAAAGAGCTTTTTTAATTTTTTTTTCTGCTACCAAACGTGGTTTGTTGAGTTTACAAGACAAGATAATACACCCTCTGAGCACCACTAAGTCTTAAGGGCAGATTAGAGGCTGCAGTGAGTCGATATTGGAAATGATGAGACAGGCCAGGGATAGCAGGTTAGTATGCTAACTTCAGTAGAAGAAAATGCCAGAGACAAAAGTTAACCATTGCCATTGCTTTCCACCTCTGTAGACAGCTGTTGACGAGTAAAAGAATGAAGTTTGATGCTGAACTCACAATGTTTCTTCTAGACTACTAAGTAAACAGCTGTTAATGCAAAAGCTGGCCGGCTGGCTCTATACATTGCGACTTGATCTGTTTGAGTGCACGTAATTAAAGGGTTTTTAGAGAGTGGATTATCAAAACTTTTTATAAAAAGAAAGAGATTCTTAATGGGAGTGTGTGATCCACTATCTTAAACAGTGTTCACCATAAGAAAAATCTATAGTCCTCAGTAGTTGTTCTGGAGCCAAGTGAGAGATCTAAGGCTGATGAGAAGTCACAAAACTGAGTTTAAGAGCCTTTGTTAATTGTTTATATCACTTTACTGTGTTTGACACTGCAGATGTGCTACAGTCATCAAGATGCAAAGTCAGACAAAAATTCACTTCAGACTTCAGACTGATGAAGAGTTGAGTGGTTGAATTAATAGATGAATGGATAGATAAATAGATTGATGGACGGATGGTTTATTCATCGGGTTAATAAATTATGAAAAGTATGATAAATTGTTGGCTGAGTTAACTAATAGACACAAAGCCTGACACACTATGTGAGGGACAGCACTTTCTTGATTGCACGTTTCACAGTTCTGCTTCTTTTCTCCTCCAGTAAAATACTGGGATGTTTGAGGTGCCATGTATCTATGCATTATTAAAGCAGGGCCTCTCAGGGTTATAAATACCCTACAGAGGAGCAGCAACATGCTAGACCTTTCATTTTCTCTCTCACTCTCCCTGAAACAGTCACTTGTGAGAACTTTAAACAAATGCGCTCACATATACACACATGGTCAAAGGAGTGCATATATAAAACGCCTCTATGTGCATATGCACTCGCCTACACCCAGATGCACAAGTCTGCAACCACACAAACAACATGCATGTACTGCACATGCATGCAAGCTGCATCTGCCTATCGAGCAGCACTGGCATGCGTAAAGCTATTCATGGGCAACGAGCCCTGCTGACAACACTGGCCCCATTACACTGACAAGCCAAAAACATCAGAGAGGAGAATACATACACACACACACACACACACACACACACACACACACACACACACATATATACACACACACACACTCATGCTCACATAGACAGAGATGGTGAGCAAAGAGGGAAGGGAAGGAAGAGGGGAGGAGGGAAAAGAGGACAGGAACACTGCGATACAAGAACACGAAATATCACAGCATTCTGACTACAGAAAGAATAAGAACTAATTTTGCCTCATCTGTCCATCCATCTAAGTCTGTCTGTCAGTTTTTCTATCTTTATGACTTTGCCTCCCATATTTGTTATCTAATAAGTGAAGGATTGAAACTAGCTTTCTCTGAAACCAGCTCTGAAATGAGCTTTGGTGTGACTGGAGAGGGGAAAATTAATAAAGGTGTTTACAAAGACAGATATCAGCTCCTTCACCTTTCTCCTTCATGTGCAAAGAAACATACATATACACATAGACTTGCACACACACCTCTGCACACAACAAATGAAAAACTAACACAACACAAAACAAACACCCCTTCACTTCAGAGTTGGAAACCTCACCGAAAAAAAATGTGCAGGTATTTGCAAATATAAAAAAACATATCTGAAAAAAGAAATGAAAAATGATCGAACTTATAATTATTGTTTTAAGATAGAGATCCTCTTTTGATTAAATTCCATCTATCACAAATACAATAATTGCCCCAGACACTAGCGATATTTTTGAATGAAGCACTGCAGCTGCTCACTGATTTAGCAGAAGTGTGGGTGTCTGTTTGAAAGTATGTATGTGTGTGTGTGTGCGTATGTATGGGTGTGTGTATAAACAGTAAATGTATTACCATTTATGTGTTAGGGACATGAAAAACTGATAATAATTGGCTCCTGTAGGCTAGAAAGTAATTTTCTCTCACACTAATTAATATTCAACTTGTCTCTAGCTTTATTTCCCAAGTCTTTAAAAACAAGATATTCACTGAGATATCGCTGTGTGCATTAATAGTCTCCTCTTTTTGGTCTTTGGAAATCTGATTACTCTTTTCCTCCTGAACAGCTTTTAGGAATTTGTCAAACCCTGTCTCTCACCTCCTCCTAAATACAGACAATTTTTGTTACGCTATGGATTACTTGAGAAGCCAGTTGTAGTGCTGGACTTAAAGCACTTGAGTAAAGCCAATGAAATGGGATTCTGTATGAATATGTACTTCTACGCTGATCGGCAGACCCAGCTGCGATGTCGAGCAAATCCACATTCGGTGAGAGCAATGAGAGTCAGAGTTACATGTCGGTGAAGAAGCACTATGCTAGTCAGTGCATGAAAAACAAGGGTAGAGGAAAAAGAAGGGTAATGTTCGTTTCGTTTGTGATGGAAAAATCAGAGCAGGAAGGAATCTGAAAGCAAGTATATGCAGTATATCTAAACACTGTGCTGGTCCTCAAAGGTCTGCATGCCTTCAATGAGCAAAAAGTACAATGCAGTTTTACTTAAACTGTGGAGAACTCACTTCAGGTGAGTTACCTTCACAGTCAAAAGCCTCTGATGTGAATTATTAAAATTCTCTGGTGTGTTTCTAAGAAAAGACACTAAAGTTTATGTGAACGGCCGGTATTAGAATTTTTGTCCAACCATCCTTTTCATCATCATCATCATCCGCACTAATCCTCATTATCATTTATGTACAGCGATATTTCCTACCTGGTTGTAGCTGTGAACAGCTCCTCCAACCTGCCCACTGCGCTGAGGAGTTGCTGCGGAGATGCTGTCGCTAAGGGCGAGGGTCTGGTTGCTATGGTAGCTGGCAGAGTACTGGAGCGAAGCCTCCGGGGTGGAGTTGAGCTGCAAGGAACTCTGGGAAAGAAGAGCCGGTCCTACCGATAGAGACAGGAGTGGTGTATGGTCGGGTGGGAGGTGGGGGTTGCGTTTAGTATGTGTGTGTGAAGAGAGAGAGAGTGAGGAGAGAGAGATTAAGAGTGAGAAGGAGAGGGGGCATGAAGGGGAGAGATTGAGAGGCGAAGAGTGAAATGGGGATGAGAGAGAGAGCAGCAATTTAGAGCAGATAGTGCAGCAGTGCAGCACTCCGTGAGTTGGAGATGGCATACATAATTTATTAGCAGAGGGAAAGAGAAACAGAGGAACAGAGAGAATGGGAGGAGGAGGAGGAGCAGGGAGATGGAGAGGATGGGAGAAGGAGGGCTGAAAATAAGAAAGTACACCTAACAACTTGAAACTTTACCTCCCCTAACATGTTCATTTTTAGCTTGTACTGTCGGCTCAAACAAAACTTCACTTGACCCCTTGTGTGAGATATAAGGAATTAAGTTCTACTGGAAAGAAACATACACTTTACACTGTACACTTTAACAGCCTCAGCACCACTAGTGTTAACGTAGAAAAGGCAAATCTGCTTTAGTCAGTGATGAGTATGGCTGTAATAACAAACAACACACACACAAATGCACACACATAACATAATAACAATCTCAACCCCCCAGTTTAAGGGCTGCATCACTGCCACCACCTGACATCAAATAATAACCCCTTCACTCTGACTCCCATGCTGGGCACATGAAGCTTATATTGGGAATAAGAACATCATAAGATGGTTTTTAAGATGGACTATCTCCTAAACTGTGTGTGGAGTGATGAGGCCCGCTGAATGGAAATCTTACAAACCACTCAGTAGTAAGAGTTGTGTGTGTGTGAGTGGTTATATTGGTTATCTACATATGTGTTTCTATGTGTGGTTTGGATTTATTGAGAGCAGTATGGTCTGTGACCTGTTAACTCAGTAGTTTATACATATTTCATTAAGTTGCTATTTTCACTCAACTCCCTGTCTGAATACAAATTTCAAGTACATAAAACGTATGTAATTAGAGGTCGTAGAGTAAGGAAGCTAAACTAGGATCTCTGTCTTTTCCTTACAAACCCTATTCCAAATGTCTAAATATCATGAATATGTCCTGATAAAGTCTACAGCAAGTGTCTTCCCCAGAGCTCTGTTGGTTTCTTTCCCAAAATAACAAAGACCCCTAATTCTTCCTCCATTTCTAGTTGCTTGCTCTCTCTGTCTCTCTCTCTCTTTCTCTCTCCCTTCCCTTTCTCCCTATGACTCTGTGCGCTGTGAACCAAGACCAACTCTTCTGCTTCTCTTCTTCACAAAAGACTTGTCTTTTCTCATCTCGATTCATTCCTTGGTTTTTATGAATTATTGAACAGCACTTTGTGTTACACAGACTGAGTGGGAGCCCCCAAACTCATCATCACTCAGCCTCGGTGTTTGTTACATTGTGTGTGCTGTGTGACAAAAACTGTATTTGTTTGTTTGAGTGATCATACATGTGACATAAAGTCATTAGTTTGGTTTGAGAAATACTTCAAGTGCATTTAGGAATTAATATGTGTGCATATGTGACACTAAGTATGTACATGTAAGTGCTGTAAGTAATGGAAGTGTGTGTGCTGTTTGTGTATATGTGTGAGAGGGTGAAATTAGAAACATTGTCGCTAGTAGGGCTTTGAGCCTTTTCATGTCTCTGTTGAGTCTCGCAGAGTCTTCATTCTCACATGAAAAATATGAATTTTTCAGCAGCTCAGTAATATTATGAAAGTCATTTTTACTCAGTCTATGAAACACTCACACACACAATCAAACACACACACACACACACGAACACATACAATGGTTTTACCTTGGCTGGTTTTAAAATAGCAGAATACACTAAAGCCCCACAGTAATTGCTTTGTGAAGTGAATTTCATTTCATGACATTAACTTTTTTGAGTTTCTGTGTCTCTGTAAACTTATTTATGTGTATAAATGTTTGTGTAGCTCTGCTGTGACACCTCACCAACTACAGTATCAGCTGAAAGAAAAAAGCCTTTCTGTTTTTGCAGCTTTTCACTGAAGACAGCAACGTGTCACTTTTTTGTGACTTTAACACATAGCTATTTGCAGTGTCCTCTTTTGGGGGAAATACACACACAGACACACACACACACACACACACACACACAGAGCTATACTGAATTTATCTGCACCCACACATAGTGATGCTTTTGGTAGAAGCCCATTAGCAAAACGGGAAAAACTGCTGGTGATGGAGCACCCACAATAAGAGTGCTCATAATGAAAGTGCCATCTACTGGTTTTGGACTCACATAAAGCAGGAGGGTAAGGGACTCAGGCACTTACTACAAATAAAATAAAAATCAAATGATCTGACATGTCTTTCCATTGTTCTGCATGTGCTTCATATGTAACCTGCTTCATATAAATACAAATAGTAGTTTTGAGGGGAATATTCCAAACTAGCTTTCTATGTTTTTTTTTCTATCGTACATACACAACTCAAGACTTATAAGTCTCGTATAAGCTGGTGTAACTGTGTGTGTGTGTGTGTGTGTGTGTGTGTGTGTGTGTGTGTGTGTGTGTGTGTGTGTGTGTGTGTGTGTGTGTGTGTGAGTGTGTGCATACACACATATTACATTGGTGCTCCACAAAGGCCAGCCCATTCTCATAGTACCAGAAATTATACATGGTAAAGCTTATGGTATGTGAGTAAACTCCTCACGTAGAAATGCAGTGAGCAACACGTCTTAAAATGCCATCCATTTAAGCAATATCAACTATCAAAAAGGTCAGCAGACAATAAGTGAAATGGGAATGCAGTGTTCCAAAACCAATGACCCGAAAAGAAAATGCCAAGCACATTTAGCGAGACCTCCCACATAGTCCGCCTCTCGATCATTGTTTGAATTAGTTTATAAGAATCTAAGGCTCACGAGATGGAAAAGCAGCTTGAAACTGAGCAGTTGTTGGTACTAGTCTAGGAAGACCATGGTGTGTTTGTCTGTTGTGTGTTTGTGTGCACATCAAAAGAGCAATGACATTTTTATCTGCTCATAGAAAAATACTTCTAGGTGAATTAGGCCTTAAAATGCTTCATTTTGGAGTGAGTTGTGTTTATTAAATGACTTTGTTAAACTTTCAGTGACAAACTACAGAATGCATTTCTGTAATATTTTGTGTGTGAGGAATAATTATATTATTATTTATTATTATAATAATTATCCAACTATTTACGTAATGTCTAATCTAGAACAAAATCCTCCCTCGACTCAACTTGATTACTTTAAGAAGAAATCTGAGAACTTAACAAAGGGAATTGCTGCACTTAGGCCAGATATCTAATGGCCTAATGGACTAAAACGAGTACATTTTCACCTTCTCTTTGAGCAGAACAAAAATAATTACCAAACAACACTACTATTGTATTTAAACCAATGACAAGTATGGTTTTTATTAGGATTGCCTGGATATTCTTCCCCCCTTTTTTTTAAAGAGTCACTCTGTGCAGTAAAATTAAAAATTATATTCATATTCCTTTTGAAGCAGTAACAGGTTTGTTTACACTTTGTGAAGTACCTACTACAGTTAAGCAGGCCTTGATTCTGATCTGCCATGTGTTAACAAAGAGCTGAAGATGAGAAAATGGGAATAAACTAAGTAAAATAAATGTGGTTTGAACCTTCATGCTGTTAGTCTGAAATTGAATTTTGTTTGTTTAGCAGTTCTGCTTTGCTCTGAGTCAGGTCTCAAAATGAATTGAAATAATTGGAATTTAAATTGACACTGTCATGTCATGACATTAACTTTTTTGAGTTTCTGTGTCTCTTGGAGCCTTTCACTTGAGACAACAACATGTCACTTTTCTGTTATTTAACAAATAGCTACTATTTATTTAGCAAATAGCTGCTCTCTTTTGGGGGACACACACACACACACACACACACACACACACACACACACACACACACACACACACACACACACACACACACAAACACACTGAGAGCTATACTGAATTTATCTGCACCCACACATAGTGATGCTTTTGGTAGAAGCCCATTAACCCAGCCCATAAAACAGCTGGGTATGGAGCACCCACAATAAGAGTGCTCACAATGAAAGTGCCATCTATTTGGATTCAGATAAAGCAGGAGGGACAGGGACTCTTCAGGAATGATGTTGATAAGTACACTTACGTTCTCCACTGTCAAGTATTCCAGATTCCTGAAGGGAGCGAATGCAGGAATCCACCAACTCCAAACCTGTGGTCAACTCGTCCTCAATATCCTTTTGTCCGTCCGCTGTGAAAGAAGAAAGAGGATGAGAGACAGAGGAAGACGGAGGTCAGAAAACAAGGAAAGGAGGCAGAGAGATGAATGAGATCTCTCTGGACTGTAACTGCAATTCTCTACTCCCACAGTCCATAAAACTTGCCAAGTTATGTCTTAGTTATGAGCTGAAGGACAGATTATATGCTGGAAAGTCTTGCCCAGCTGCTTGACTGGAAGTGTGTGTATGTAAATTTGTGAATTTGTCTGTATATATTAATGTATGTAAGGTATGCATGTAACCTTTAAAAACTTTAAAAAACAGTTATGAAAAGGTTTCTTTTGTCAATTCATGCAACTATGCCTTTACATGGTTGAGCATTATGTACATGTTTGTACAAGTGTTCATGGCAAACTTTACCTTGAGCGTTCCAACGAAACTGCTCATCTGTTGAACTGCAAAAGAAGGATGTTGTAAATGATAAGAATAATGTGGGGAATAACAACAACATACTAGAAAGTTGTAGAATAGCAGCCACATTTGAAATCAACAGCAACTTACAATAAAGCTTCCAAAATGCTTTACAAAACATGAGGAAAAGTAAAATATATTCAACAGAAAATGAAATCTTGGAATGGAGAAATGATTCAGTCACCTTTGAATTCTTATTTATAGAGGAAGACATTCAGCTGCCACCTTGAACTCACAATTAATTTGCAATGAATGGAAAGTCAAATGTCCAGTTTCTGTATTTTAATATTTACTGCACTGAAAGAAACTGCCAATGAGCTACATTTCGTTTATGCTCTATTCTGCTTAAGAATGAAAAACAAACAAACAAAATAATGCGAACAAAAGTAAAACTTCTAAATGTAACTTCAGGCAAATTACTTACAAAACTGCAGCATTTTACAAAATGCAGTCCTGAGCACTCAGGTAACAGTCTTTTTTTAATTCTAGAATGGATAGTATTGTTGACAGGTACACAACTACATGTGCATTCATGCTTGTGGACACACACAAACAAGACTTCTTTTCCATTCTCTTGATCACTCTCAATTGATCAGTGATTGATGGGGGGTGAAAAAAGAGAAAAAGACAAAGAGAGGCAGAAGGAAACAGACAGAGAAAGTTAAGGACGAGTACGCCAGCTGTGTGATCGATACAGACACGGACAGACTAACTGATACATATAGACCCTTTCATCTGACTTCATCTACACCATTAAACTGGCTGTCTGGACTACTTGGCTTGTTTCTGCATTTCTCCTATTAAGACTGCTTGGTATTCCACATACCCGACTTTCTAATTGAATTTCTGTCACAGTGTGTGCATGTGTGCCCTGGGTGTCATCATACAATTTGTGTCTAAAGTGCTTGTGTGCCCTCATGTGTGTACAAGTTTGCAGAGGTATATGAGAATGAGTGAATACATTTACATGTGTTTATCTGTCTATATGTCTGGTTGGCTAAGATGGTATTGGTCTTTCAAAGATGGATATTTTCTAAATAGCTTTCATTTGACTGGTTGAATCAGATTTTAAAGACTAATGCCTATTGTAATACACAATGTATTGTAACACATACAGTGATGAATACTTTTGCCGTGGAACCAGACAAGGGGATAGGCCATTTAGGTCAGCATGATTAAAGAGCAAGGAAATGAGAAATGAAAATTTGTTATTTTTAAGTTTGTTAACTTTGTGACTTGAACATTGAACCTAATTGAATGATGTTTTTTTGTTCAATTAACTTCTGATATCAGTCAGCATGTTAGACAATTTGGCTTCTGTCCTTGTGGAACCTCAGCACCTATGCTGCTGACAGTCAGCTGCTTCTAAAGCGTGACGACCATACCAGAGGTGAGAATTCACGTGGACTGAACAGATGGATGCTTCACTAGTGCTTACGAGCCGCTCAAGTTTCACTCCTGGTATAAATTATTGAATTAGTCTGCAGACAATGGCACACCAAAACCAGGGTCCAAACCAAGCCACAACCATCTCTAACCTAAATATATCAGTTTGATTAGAGGAAGTTGTTGAAAGCATTACAGAACCTATTGAATCATAGGGTTGATTTTTAATTTATGTTTCACCTAATACACATGAACACCAACGGTTTAGCATTAAAATGACAGCAAATGTGAACTGTAAGGCTGTGACAGAAGATAGTTGGGACAGGGATGGTTGGTGAAAGAAAGAAAAAAAGAAAGAAAGAAAGAAAGAAAGAAAGAAATAACTACTTCTACCAAATAGTTCCAGGAGTCAATGTTAACTTGTAATGTTAACGTTAGGCCTATAGTCAATAGTTTTGTGTTGCCCAAGTTTTTGTCTGCATCTGCATGATTTCTGCCTATTTTGCCTTAGGATGCAGCTTGTCCTGCATTTCTTTTCAGTTGAAAGTAATTGTTATGTAACTGCTAATCACTGCTAATCACACTAAAGAATGAGCATAAATGCAGCATGAATGCAGGAAAAGTCAGATCAGTTACAAATTAACTCAGCAGAAATTTAATCCCCTAATCACCAAATCACAGCAATGTGGGAGAAAAGGTTGAACTTGAAGTAACTATGGACTATATATATATATATATATATATATTGGCACCGCTTAGTGACCTAATTTGCTGATTGGTCCATGCTATATGTACCTGTTTGTAATGAGGGGACTAAATTCAAATGGACACTGTTTAAACTTAACAATTACTCTCCAGCTTGGAATGACTGATGTATGTAAAGGTCAGCTGAAATAAAAAAAAAAAGCTTTGCAGCTTGCTGGACTAATGAAACACCATCATTATGGGGGCAGCAACAGACGGAAGGTCAGAAATGTGGGATTGTGACCAAAAGGTCTTTGGCTCAAATGCTTGGACAAGCAGGGAAATTTTAAATAAATTACTCCCAAGTTGCCCTAAAGTGGTGAATGTTAAAAAAATTTGACTGCACAGAGTAGCTTCCTTTTGTGAATTCCTTTAACTGTCTGAATATGAATTAGGATTACACTCTGCAAAGCTTTGCTTGACAGACGAAGGTTAAAATATATACTCATGAATCTGACCATTACTTTTCTGCTTTGCTGCTAGTATAGTAAGTTCTATGCCATGGGCCCTGTCATGGTCCCTCAATTATAGATAATGTTTGATATTGGTTAGTTTTTTTGGTTCAGTTATGCCTTTTGATTCCAGTTTTTATTTAGCTATGGTTCTGATTCTTCATCTGCGTCATCTTCTGTTTTACACTTGCTCGGCACACTAGCAGCTGATTCTGGGACAGATTTACTTGAGGAAGTTGAGAAGGAGAAAATTGCAGAAAATACGTCATTGTGTCAGATGGACTCTGGATTTGCTGTATCTCTAATGTCTCTTGCCACAATGGCATGCGCATGCACATACACACACACACACACACACACACACACACACACACACACACACACACACAAAAAAGACACTATGCGAGAATGAAAACAAAGTGATGGGAGAACTGTTTGCCTTCATGTGCCTGAAGGAAAGCCAACAGGCTAACAGTAGTAAGCATTGTGTCACTGTGTTAAAGTGTAGTTTGTTAGAAAGAGAGAGAGAGAGAGAGAGAGGCAAGACAGAGAAAGAAAAATTTGCATGAGACACTCAGAGAGCTGGTACACAGGAAAGAGCGATTTAATAAGCATTATTCCACAACACTGCACACTCTTGCCTGCAATGCCACAACACTACACCCAGCGAGGCAGCGTGTCTCTTTTAACAGTGAGCCTGTATTAGAGAGACATTTTAAATTCACTACTCCACTCTTAACCGCCACACAGTTTAAATCAACAGACAGCGTCCTCTACTGTTCCCAGTGAAATCCACATGTATGCATACCCACACACTCTACTTAGCATTCACAAAGCTTGGGAGAAAAATATAGTCTGCTCCTTTAGTCCTAATTTGTGCATAGGGATGTGTGTTTATTTCTCATGGGAATATAAAGACTGAGGGACTTAAAGTATAACCCAGGAATCCCAGCAGCCACATCCTTCATGAGTTATTAGGCCACAGCATGGAGAGCATTACTCTGAGAGAGTTACACACTGTCACACAAGGTTCTGCTCAAATCCTCCAGCTGCCTCCTTTCACAGATAGTAGCACTTAAGAACACTTGCCTGCCCTGATAAGGCTGTCAGCGGGAAAGTGAGCATGTGTATGTATACTCAGCAAGCAAACACACATGCACACATCCACAGTTTGTTCTCACATAAGACAGAAGATCCACACAAACATATACTTTATGGGTAATGCATTCAGCAGCAAATACTGCACAGAGCTAATTTTAATTATGTCTTGGTTACTTCTGTGCACACACAGACACACTTACATACATACACACACACACACACACACACACACACACACACACACACACACACACACACACACACTCATACACACACACACACACACACACACACACACACACACACACACACACACACACACACACACACACACACACCTTACCCTAACCTTAACAAAAAAATGCACCAACCCTAACATTCAATAAATGAATTGCTCAGGTACTTGTGGTTCATTGGTTCATGCTTTTTTATATCATATTTTTTTGTTTTTATACACACTTAATATTATTACTGGTATTTTTTTTAATTCCGTCTGATCTACAAAAAGGACAAATAAACAAAGAAATAATTTACGAATGTGCTGAAGATTCAGCGCACAACTTTCTATTGTATATGACTCTTGTTTTAACTAAGAACTTATGTTTTAATGTCTGTCTTCGTCATCTAGGATCTGGAAATATCAGAGTTGGCATCTTGGTTGTAGCTCAGTTATGAAATGCAATGCACTTTGGAGCGTCTCTCCTGACATGCTGCTGACAGTGCTGTCACTCAGACAGTGGGGCTGAAAGTATGGGATTAGTCAACAGAAATGAGTCATGCTGCCCTGCTTGTCCAGTGCTCTGCTTCCCTCCATTTCTATTTCATTCATTTCATTTATGGTTGGTTCTGTGGTTCAGTCATTTTACAAAAAGACCTGGTTTGTTAAGTTAACAGGTGCCATACAGTATATGTAGCTGCCTATGTGCACAGATATTCAGATACATTCACATCAACACAGATACACAGATACAAGGTGTCAAATTCTCAAAACACTGAACCAAAAGCACTTTATGTCTTCGATAATTGCTATCCTGTTGAGTTGGAGAGAGGAATAAATGGATGGCTTGGTGTGCAGAACTGGCCTATTTCATTATTACCAGCATTAAAACAGAAGCCTAATAGACCATAATCCCTTGTGTGACGTTTACTTAATGCTTTATCAAGAAGTAGTTATAAACACATCTTGGCTTCCTGAAATCTTGCTATATTTACAGGCATAAATCCACATTTCATTATTTGTGTGTTTTGACTGTGGGCCAAGGGATCGACTAATTTCAATTTCCAGCAATTACCTCGCAAGT